AAAATAACATATATTGGCATGCAAATAGTTTCAAAGATTATCACTTCCCGAAAAAACTTAATTACTTCTATCTTATAAAAAAATTTCCATTATGGAAAAAGATAGGCAGATTTTATGGTAGATCTAAAGCCCACCATGGATCTACATATGACTAAAATAAACATTTTCATACTACATACTTAAATAAGCATCTATTTTTAAAAAAATAAAACAATAAAAAAGGATTTTTTATATGAAAAGGTCCAAAAAATGGTATGCACCTAAGTTGCACCATAGAAGAACTCAAAAAGATATGATTTAAGGAATGTATAATTTAGAATCACTTTTCAATTTTGTGTTACTTTAATAGAAATCATCCTAAATCGGACTAAAATATAGACAAAAGTATCAAAACTGGACTTTCATGTTTTTTTCTCAAAATAGTACTTTGCACTATAGTAATGTGTTAATGTACGGTGTACATTACCATACTTTTTTTGTAATATACATGAATATGTTTAGTAATGTAAGTCCTATTTTTGTATATTTTAAATATTTTAGTCTTACTTTGGTTTTTCTCCTTTACTTTAATGTATGGTATGACAATGCAATTAGTAAATTACTACGGGTATTAAATAGATAAGATGAGAGAGACACATTTATAATCAGTAGGTGTATAAAGGAGACTTTAATTAAAAGTAAAAGTATTTAAATTCCAATTTCATCTTAGTGCAATGAAAATATAGTTAAATTAAAGTTAATTCCATTAATAATTTACAACTAAACTAACTTTAATGAGATTATGGATTACAAATGATTTTGAGTCCTCTATTTTTAACTCCAATATTGAGATTTATTTTAACACCAAATTCTTATTAATTACAAAATTTTTAAATATTGTTCCATTTTTATTGGTGAATTTACTTAAATAGCACTAAAACATAATGTTTTTTTAATGTAGCACTTTTAGTGAGTATCGATTAGTCATTATTCAAGTAACATCACTGGACATTATTCCTCTTTCTAGACATTATTAAGTGTTATTTAGGGTATAAAAAAATTTAACTACTATTTAGAGAAATGACTTAAGTTTTAGTGTTATTTAGTGCAAATATTTCTTTTTTATTTTCTTAGTTTCAGATTTATAAAACATGCTCTATATAGTAGGCCCTCCGTTCAAAAATAAGATTCTTATTTTGGCTTTTAGGAAAAATAAAGAGTGTATATTTGTAGTTGACTCTCCAATTTTGTTCTTGATATGATATATAAAAAATGGTTTTTTAATAGAAAATGTTTGTATTTTCAAGAAAACAAAAATAATAAAGAAAAAACATTTTAAGAAACGAAAGGGCTTCGTACAAACAAATTTGGAGTCATCCATATTAAATACGGAGTACATTTATCAAAGTACCTTTACTTTTGTTACCAAAGTGGGCGGCTGACAAAATTAATGCGGTGGATTTCAATTTCCATGGCTTGATGAAGGCCGTTGATGAAATATTCCAAAGCTTATCAACAGTGGATAACTGGACGGGAAAACACTTTGTTTTTCTTTTTTTTCTTTCTTGAATTCTTTTACTTTTGTATATAGTATAGATACCTGGCCAACATTCACTTGATTTAAAAAGCCAGACTTAAAATGTATAACGATTTTTGGCACCCATATAAAGTTACTTGGCATCATCATTAAATATGAAGATATTTGTGTCTTTGTAATTTAAAAGTTCCGTACATTGCTTCCTAATGCTAATTTGAGCCGTCTCATTAGCAACACTCTTTGTTCATAGCGCTTTCTTTTGTTGTCTTGAACGGACATTGAAATAGCTCCAAATATTTCATCTACATGGTAAAAGGTTAATAATATAGTGCAATTTCCACTGAATAGGACTAAAACATTATACATTTCCCAATGTGTAATATATATTTAAACATCATGGGAAAAAGATCATTTTTAAAAAAAACTCATAAGGTTGTCACCAAATTATATGAAAGAGCATGTAAATTTAAAGGGGGTCAAACTGAGAAAAATTAAGTAAATCATTAAAGAGGTTTTGTGGCAAGTACTTGTCACCTGTAAACTTCTACAAAAGCCAGTGTCATCGAAACTCATGTGAATCCATAACTTAAAAGACCGCTTACCAAGAAAGATCATCTGTAGAAAGAATTTTTAAAATAAAGTTGTAGAAATTTGTGAGCAAGGTACTCCAATACAAAATCATGAAACTAAATATCAAATATTCTTTTTTTTGCAATAGATGCAAAAGAAACCAAACCCAAAATTCCAATTAAACTAACTCCAAAATTAAGGATTTGGAAATCACATGATACCTAAATAAGCATCGGATTGTGCACAGGCAAAACCCAAAGAGGCAATGTAAGATGCCTAAGACCATCTCTAACACAAAACACTTAATGGCAGACATGCACTCGGATATTCCAGTATGTATCCATAGGAACCAGCAATGGCAGACATGCACTCGGATGTTCCAGAATCTTGCATGAACTTGGCAAGTCCGAAATCAGCAACATGAGCTTTATAGTTTGAGTCGAGAAAATTGTTGTTTGATTTCACGTCACGATGAAGGGTCAAAGGGGAGCAGTCGTGATGGAGATAATCAGTCCCTTTGCAGCCTTCATAGCTATCTTGTACCTTGTGTCCTAATGTGAATGCCCACCTTTCTTGCCATGGATCATTTCAGTTAAATCCCATTTGGCATGTACTCATAAACCAAAGGATTTGTCTCATAGTTTGAACAGAAATCTAATAATTTGACAATGTGTCTGTGCTAGATCCTCCCAAGAGTCTGTAATTCTGCATTGAACCCGTGATCATGTGAATCCATGGCTCATGGCTGGAAACCTATTCACATCAACTTGTTCACCATTAGGCATAAGTCCGTTGTAGATTATATCCGCACCTCCTTTACCAATAAAGTTGTCCTTCTTGAGGTAATCTAGAACGTCATCACAAGTGAAATCTAAGCGCTGGAATGCAGTAAGCTTCCATGCACAAGCATCAATGGCCTTCTCCAAAGAACATGCCTTAATGATTGCCACACGATTTAACAGACAAGCAGCTCAACCATAGATCTGNTGTGAATCCATGGCTCATGGCTGGAAACCTATTCACATCAACTTGTTCACCATTAGGCATAAGTCCGTTGTAGATTATATCCGCACCTCCTTTACCAATAAAGTTGTCCTTCTTGAGGTAATCTAGAACGTCATCACAAGTGAAATCTAAGCGCTGGAATGCAGTAAGCTTCCATGCACAAGCATCAATGGCCTTCTCCAAAGAACATGCCTTAATGATTGCCACACGATTTAACAGACAAGCAGCTCAACCATAGATCTGGGTTTCCCAAGAATGAAGTGTAATTGAAATAACTACGATTCGAGGAAAAATTCCAGACAGATTGTTGTATGCAAATTCGACTGAAGTTAAACCCCGCATAGAGGTAATTAGCAATGGAATGCTCCCAATTAAGTGGTTTCTGGACAGGTTCAAGTAGTTTAATATCCTCATGCCTGTAATCTCAATCAGGATTTCACCAGATAGCTCCTCATGCCTGTAATCTCAATCGAGATTTCACCATATAGTTGGTTGTGGCTGAGATAAACAAATGTCAGCAACTTGCATCTGCTAATCTCTGATGCAATGGTACCAGATAGGCTGTTTAGGTTTAGATCCATATTAGACAACTGATGCAATTTTCCAATTTCTACCGAAATGTGGCCGAAAATTTGTTTCCATCAAGAAGAAGAAGCTTCTGGACATCAACGAAATTTCCAATGCTTTTAATGCAACGGAAATAATTCATTGATTTTTATAAATGTCCAGACTTTAAAAATCAATTAAAGAGAAGGGAAAATACTACTTTAAAATGGTGGCAATGGGAATAAGCATGAAGCTGTAAACGTATGTCAAGAATCCAAAGTTGAGACATTATCCCTACATCTATGAAAAGATAAAGAGAATGGAACATTTTGCCATACAAATTAAAAAGTACGTAGTAAATCATAAAAAACAAACATGGATTACCATGATCCCCGAAGTCGTGCACCTATGGTGCGCCTTCCATCGTGCATCGTGTTGTTAGAATTTAATCGTAGGATATGTTAGGGCCGAAACCCTAGCCCGGTGGAGCGGTCATTCATGCCAGCATCGTTACACTACACGCTCAGCGGTGAAGCTGAGTAAGCATATCTAAAACGTCGAACATCCACATAAATTGAATCTCAATTCATAATTAACCATTTGCTATCATGCACACAATATATGAATCAAACATTCATAATATTCTCAATATTTTATTGCAAGTCATTTGATACTCAATATATCAATAACGCTCTTAACTTATTTTTAATCTAAGGCCACATTGTTTTATATTCAGCTCTTAGCTATTCCTAATCTAAGGAAACATTTCTAACCAGACCCTTAAGCTATAAATAGTTTAATGCAGAACACAAGAATCGATAATCCACCCTATGAGTCACGTGGATTACGTACCAACCGAACAGTGATTTGTCGGGTGGGTGATATCCTGTCTGGATCCCGTACGTACGTTTTAACCCGAAATATGAATTGGTCAAGTAGGTATATCTTAGAGTTCTTCTAAATATCCCTAATAATCATCATCAATATACAAGTGGGTATATCTTAGAGTTCTTCTAGATATTCTTAACAATATACACTATTTTCATAATCACCATTAATTCATTTTTAATCGTGACTTAATCATCAATAATCATTCTAATCATTAGGTTTATCATTCATAATTATCCATAATAATTATTCATCATAATGATCATTCAACATAATATTTAATAGCAAACAGCGGCCTAGTCTCGGATGTTAACACCCGAACTTACCGTCATGCATCACATAATGTTTTATATGTTCAAAAACATCATTTATTATACAAAATCATATTTAAATTGTTCATAATTAATTGGTATTTTCATAGAATATTTCCACGAATATTTTAGGAACACTGGAATTGAGGAAAAATTGGTTTATTCAATAAATTAATACAAAAATCGATTTTTAAATATATATTAATCTATTAAATATACAAAAATCGATTTTTAAACATATATTAATCTATTAAATACACAAAAATCGATTTTTCAACATATCTTAATCGATTAAATTGGAAAATCGATTTTATAATATATTTTAATCGATTAAATACCAAAATCGATTTTATACCTTAATATAATCGATTATTATTATTATTATTTTTATTTTGATACGCTTTATCTGAACAAGTTTTAATCGATTCTTAGGAAAAATAAATAATTTTCGGTCATTGTTCATCGTCTTCTACCTTCGGTCCATTTTCGGACATATCAATTTTAGTTACCAAACTTCAATTAAACTATATAGAAATAATCTCCAAGGTTCATAGATCATTTTAGAATCATTAAAACATATTTTTAACATCAAATTCAAGGTTTATGATTCTTGGTTCTTCAAACATGTCAAACACAAAACTCAACTAAATGACCATTTATGAACGTAAAAACAACCTATATGAACATTCTAATCTTTAGATATATCTACGGGCTTACCTCGAGGGTAAATAAAGGTTTTGAAGATTTTCTGACGAAACTTCCGGCGACGATAGCTCTCAACTCCGGCGACCTCACACCAATATGACAGCACCACCGCGTTCTCCTCACTCCCAGTAACAGAATAGAATGAAACTTTGTAAGAAATGGTGAAGAATGGAGGGTGTTATGGTAGCCTTTTATAGGACAAGGAAGAGGAAGATGACACAGGTTGATGAGCTCTCCTTCGATTGTTTCGGTGGCTGGGTGGAGCTGGCTGCGATTTCTTCCCATTTTAAACGCAAGTCCCTGATTGGGGCTAATTTGGTCCCAGTCGGGGAACACTTTTTGGTCCAACTTTCCCCGAATTGAAATACGATATAACCGTTGGAATCAGACAGTTAAACTCTACATAGCGATATAAATTTTTATTATTTATTGACAAACTTTATAATTAACATATTTTTGGGTCCTTCTTAGTAATTAATTAATTATCAATTAATTAATTCTGATAGGCCTATTTTCGGGGCATTACATTTCTCTCCCCCTTAAAATAATTTCGTCCTCGAAATTACCTGAGTCATTGATTGAAGAGGTTTGGATATTGTGTTCTCATTGACTCTTCAGTTTCCCACGTTGCTTCTTCAGTTGAGTGATTTCTCCATAGTATTTTAACTAGAGGGACAGATTTGTTTCTCAGCTCTTTGACTTCTCGTGCTAAGATTTGAACAGGTTCTTCTTCGTAAGTTAGATTTTCGTCAAGCATTACAGTTCCATCAGTCAAAATGTGTGATGGGTCAGAACGGTATCTTTTCAGCATAGATACATGGAATACATCATGAATCTTGTTCAGTTCTGGTGGAAGTTATAGGCACATGACCGGAACAAGAGGATGGTTCACAAATCTCAAGGAGAAATGTCATGGACATGTAACATTTGGAGACAAATCCCGGAAGAAAGTCATTGGTAAAGGTACGATAGGTATTTCAAGTGATTTTTCAATAAATGATGTTTATCTTGTTGATGGCTTAAAATTTAACTTAATTAGCATAAGCCAACTTTGTGACAATGGCCACAAAATTGAGTTTAATGCAAATTCCTACGTTTTATATGGCCAAAATAAAGATGAAAGCATTTTTGAGGCTAAAAGAGATGGAAATTTATACAAGCTCAATTCCAATGACTTAAGCAACTCAAAAATCACTTGTCTTACTACTTCGCTTGAATTTTCAACATTATGGCACCGTAGACTAGTACATGCTAGTTATGATCTTTTGAGAAAACTTTACTCAAAAGAACTTGTTGTTGGGTTACCAAAAATGAGCATACCTACTTCTCGTTTTTATGATGCTTTCTCCCTTGGAAAACAACATAAAGTAGCATTTAAGCCCATAAAAATGGTTTTAACGTCAAGGCACTTTGAACTATTACATATGGATTTATTTGGGCCCGTAAACGTTCAAAGCCTAGGTGGAGCTAGTTTTACTTTTGTGATTGTAGATGATTTTTCTCGTTATACTTGGACTATATTGCTTGCCAATAAAGATGATGCATTTAATGCGTTTGATAAGTTGTGCAAGAGAATCCAAAATGAGAAAGGTTATGAAATAACCTCCATTAAAAGTGATAGAGGAGGAGAATACCGGAATACCGATTTTGAGACATATTGTGACGAACACGGTATTTATCACAACTTTTCGGCTCCTAGAACACCTCAACAAAATGGAGTCGTTGAAAGGAAAAATAGAACGTTGCAAGAAATGTCAAGGACCATGTTGAATGAACATAACCTACCTCAATATTTTTGGGGAGAAGCGGTCAACACGGCATGCTACGTTCTTAACCGGGTATTACTTAGACCTATTATTAAAAAGACCCCCTATGAACTTTGGAAAGGTAGAAAACCAAACATTTCCTATTTCAAAGTTTTTGGGTGCAAATGCTATATTTTGAATACCAAGGATCATTTAGGAAAATTTGAGTCTAAATCAAATGAAGGAATTTTCCTTGGTTATTCAACAAATAGTAGAGCCTATAGGGTATATAATAAATCAAATCATAAAGTAGAAGAATCTATGCATGTAAAATTTGACGAAACCGATCCCTTTAGGTTCAAATGAAGAAAAAGAGGAAGAAGAAATCCTGGAAATTCCTGCGCAAGAAGAAGAAAAGAAGGAACTACCGAAGGCATACAAACACTTGAAGAATCATCCAAGAGACAATATCATTGGAGATATTGAAAAGGGAGTTAGAACTAGGAACAATTACAATCTTTGTGCACACTATGCGTTTGTTAGTCAATTTGAACCTAAGAACATAGAAGATGCACTAAAAGATAGTGATTGGATTATATCCATGCAACTAGAGCTTGAGCAATTTGAACGCAACAAGGTTTGGAAACTAGTCGAAAGACCGGAAAACCGACCCATTGTGGGCACTAAATGGGTCTTTAGAAACAAGCTTGATGAAAATTGTGTTATTATCACCAATAAAGATCGACTTGTTGCTAAAGACTATAGCCAAGTTGAAGGACTTGACTATGATGAAACTTTTGCTCCGGTTGCTAGGCTTGAATCTATTCGTATGTTATTAGCTTTTGCAAGTGCTCTTAATTTTAAACTTTTTCAAATGGATGTTAAAAGTGCTTTTCTCAATGGATGGTTAAAAGAAGAAGTTTATGTTGAACAACCTCCGGTTTTGAAAATCCTGATTTTCCAAGTCATGTTTTTAAACTTCATAAGGCTCTTTATGTTAGAAAAGGCATGCAACTCTAGAGGGGGGGGGGGTGAATAGAGTTGTTGAGAATGTTTACCGATTTTCGCAGGATTAAATAAGATAAACGAAAGTGCAGCGGAAATAAAATAGAGAAGGCAAAGAACACACCGATGTATACTGGTTCACCACCTCGTGGCTAGTCCAGTTCCCCGAGAGACTCTCTCGAAGCTACCACTACTTTCGTTAAGCTTACGGGTGCTTAACAAACCGTTTACAACTCGAGAACTTGAATCCCACAAGCCTCGACACAACCGCTCGTAGATATGCTCTCTACAAGACTTCACAACCAAGACTTAAATCACATAAGCCTTGAACAACAAGAAGAACAATCTTCTTCAACCTCTCAGCAATAACTCTCACAAGAGTAGAAATGAGAAAAGATCAAGCTCTATGGATGACAAGAA